GAGGGGCTGGAAAGCTGTCCAGTGGAAAAAGACCTGGGGGTGTTGGCTGAGACAGCTTGTGCCCAGGTGGCCAAGAAAGCCAGTGGCATCCTGTCTTGTACTAGCACTAGTGTGGCCAGCAGGATCAGGGCAGGGATTGTCCCCCTGTTCTTGACACTGGTGAGGTTGCACCTCAACTCCTGGGCTCAGTTTTGGGTCTCTTTCTACAAGACAGACATTGAAGTGCTGGAGCAGGTCCAGAGAAGGGCAACAAAGCTGGTGGAAGGTCTGGAGAGTAAGTCTGATGTGGAATGTCTGAGGGAACTGGAGTGTATAGTCTAGAGAAAAGGAGGATTGTGGGGATCACCTACAACTACCTGACTGAGATGGGGGTTGGTCTCCCAAGTAAAAAGTGACAGAACAAGAGGCAACGGCCTCAAGTTGTGCCAGGGAAGGTTTAAATTGGATATTAGGAAAAATGTCTCTGCCAAAAGGGTTGTCAGGCTTTGGAACAATCTGCCCAGGGAAGTGGTGGAGTCATCATCTCTGGAGGTACTTAAATTTGTAGTTGTAGCACTTAGGGACATGGTTTAGTGGTGGACTTGGTAAGTGCTGGGTTAATGGCTGGCCTTGCTGATCTTAAAGGTCTTTTCCAACCCAAACGATTCTGCGATTCTGTGACTGCCTCAATTTATCTAAAATGACTATTTAAAATTCTAAACTAATAATATAGCTTCCAACTGTGAGTATTCAGGCACATCATGATAAGATAAATATATAAATCTAATTTGCTGAAAACTAGGTCTCAAACTGGCTTTGAAACACTCCAAAAGCCACTGGCAAGCTGGAGAACACCTGACAAAACTATAAATGTACCAGACACAGCTGGAGTTACCAGGTGACTGTTACTGAACATTTAAGATGCTCTTGTCTAAGTACAGTGGTCATCATTATCAATCACACTTATCTATCTTAGAAGGAATTCCAAAGATGACTTTACTTACAATTACAAAGGTGCAGTTGGAAATACCGCAGTTACAGAATACAACTCATCGTAAGTACTCTGTCAGAAAGGAGGAATGTTTTCAGTGAAACAACTGACTGTAAAAATGGTGTTCCTTTATTTACAAACACACAAGATTATTTCTGTTGTAGGTATAATTTGCTTTTAGACTGATGGCTTTTTGGTTCTTTTTCAAAAAGAAGCCCATTTTTACTTCTGTTAGTGACATATGGCATTACAGTAATGATAGAATGACAAAAAGTATTTGCTGTCCATCCCATGTCGAACAAGAAACATGAAAACTATATTTTGCATAAGGGACATACATGATAGGAAATACCGAGATCATTATAATCACCAATCAGTCACGTCCTCTGTCTTGAAAATTGTATTAAATGCAGCTTGCTGTGAACGGACTGACACCTTGACACACTTGGCACTGCCATTTTTTTAACATAGTGCTTCTGACTAAATAAACTCTGGTTTGACCTACTCACATTTCAATAACTCATTTGCAGAAGTCAAAAATCTAAAAGCAACTATCATGCATTTTATCAAATTTGTGTGACAATAAAACCCTTGTGTATAACTTAATGACTGAAGAAACATAGTACACCTAAGGCCCTTTCAGCAGATCTCATTCAACACATAGTATAAAACCATACAGTTTCCTCAGAGTTGAGTGCTGCACGGAAAGTGAAATGGGCAGCTACTTCCCAGTGTTGCAGAGCCAATCAGTTAATACACACAACCCCTTAATGTCAAGTTCAGTCCACAACACCACAATATGCAATAAAATGCCCATTCTGACTTTTAATACAGCTAAACAAATATTTTGTGGGCACATAAGAGAAAACTATGTGTCAAATATCTTAAATACTGACTTCTTTGTTGGATTGTACTGATTAAACCCAACACATTATTTTTACAACAATCCATATAACACAGTAATATACCTGCGTATTTAAAAAAAACCCTGTATTATACTAAAAACATGTGGAATGTTTAACTTTCCAATGTGTTTGTCTTATTTTTCAGGAATACCTAGTTTAAGAAACGCAAACAGACACACACATTCACTCAACAGTACGAATGTCATTCTTTTTCTTGCAGTATCAGGGATAATGAATTTTTCATCAAAAAAACCCAAATCCAGACATCAAGAATTAACTGGGCAACCGACTATTATTTGAGAGTTCCAGTACACAATGCAGCAAGAACCAGTTAGAGGAACTTCTCCCCACCAGACCACTTCAGATAATCTCCTGTTCATATCTACCTTTGTTTAACTTACAAGATATCATTAAGTAGTCCTCAGATGTGCTCTTGCCATCATCATCGTCTTCTGTTTTTATAGTCACTGTGGAGCCAGGAACAGTACCAGCTGCCTGAATGACTGCTTCAGAATCTGAGTTCGTTACGAGAACTTCTTCTGAAACCATTGTTGGTGAGTTGGCTCCTGACACAGAGTCTTGCACCACATGCTCCAAATGTCCATCAGGACCCGTTACAAGGTCAGCCACAAAAACCTGATCGGGAACTCTAACAGTTTCTGTTATTAGATCTGAAGTCAAAACATGATCACTGGTATCTAAAGCTTCTTCAATAGCAACATCAGCTTCCAAAACAGAATCGGGAACAATTACACCTTCTGTTACAACATCAGTTTCAGTGATGATGTCAGGTCCTTGGACAACTTCAGCTGCTAAGCCATGATCAAGAGTTATTCCATCATCGGTAACAACATCAGAAACTAGGACAGCTTCGGGAACTGATACAACAATATGGTCTCCATCAATATGAGCAGTGCCAGCCATTCCAGCCACTATGAAACAATCATGAATGAGGAGAAAAGTGTTAAGGTTATTGCATTAGCAATTAGTTTATCTGTGGAATAACTATATAGAGAAGTTAAACACAGATGTATAAATCTGTTAGCCTTCAACAATCCACAATTTGCTTTTTACCTGATAAAGACTAACCAAAGCAACCTGTATTCTTTAAATTAAGACAAATAAAAACATGTACTTCTTTTAGACATAATATGAAGTTTGTCCCAAGTTTAGGTTCTACAACACTGATATGTTAAAAATGACAGGCCAGTCTGTGATTTCATCCTTTTTTTTTTTTTCAATCCCAGTTAGAAAATACTTGGTTACAGTAGCAATCTGAACCTTCACAGAATTCTTGCATGACACTGGAAGTGTGGTGACAGTACATTAATTGCTGTTACAATACAAGGACTCTCATCCTTTAGACTGCATGGGCCTTAATAAAAAAAAATACTCAGCTGTATGCAATATTTGTAATAAAATTTCCAACAACTGGACACATTGCAAGGCATGGCTCCAAGCAGAAACCTGTTTTTCATTAACAGACTTGACTGGCCAGTCAGATTTACACACTACTTTTCTATACATAAAAAAGAATGCACAGTGAATTATTTTGACATACACATAAATAGAAGTTTTAATCTTAATGAATAAAACATGCAAGAAAATGGTTCTTATCAGAATGAAAAAAAATTATTCAGCACTGTACTGCAAATGCAGTTATTTTGGTACACTCTGAGGGATGTTAATTCATTTTAGAACAAAGACATGGTCCTCCTCAAGTACTGAGAAGGACTGTCATCTCCTGTCAGAATGCAGAAATGAAGATCCACAAAGAGAAGAGTGGGGATTTCTTCCTGTCCTTTTTCTAAACCTTCAGAATTGCTGAGGTTATTCAGCATTGCTTAATTAGGAAAATAACTTTGAATCAAATTTTCTTACATCAGCACAGTCCCAGCACTGATGTTCTTTACAGAAGACTTCTAAGCACATGTGAACATGCAGATTTAGCTAAATTTGTAAACTGTTGTCTACATAATGTTATCTGTTCTCACACAAAGACATTATCTTCCACCACATTTACTGCAATACCCTAAAGGAGACGGTAATCAAGGTAAGCACATAGAAGCCTGAATGCTGGTTACATCCTCTACTGAATGTTATTTACCTCTCCTGTATGTTGGAGATGTAACAACTAGTCAAGGTGATTTCATGATTTCAAGCAGAAGCACACACCTCACAAAACCAGTGAACTCCAGGTAACATCTTATGTCTCATCTAGAGCACTTTGGGCCTCAGATTCAACTTCCTTCCACACCCTCCCCCCCAAATTACTTCAATATTTTGGAATAAGTGACTATTTCAAGATCAGCAACCAAAGTCTACAATAACATATTATATGCCACCTTAAATTTTTACTGTCTCAAAAAAGTCATGTAAATAGCATTATATTAGCCAGCTCAACATCTCTGTATTTATAAACATTTAGCAAACTCCTGAAAAATAGTCTTGATTTTATTAATAATTTTTTAATAGTAAAAATGTTTACCGAAATCCTGCATAATCATAGTGTGAGGCATTTTGGATTCTTGTGTTTGCAACCCAAGACTTCCACCACCTGGATCCATATTCAGCCAAGTTCATTCACGGACAACTGCAAAAAAAGCAAAATCAGAATTTCTGTTAAAAAATGTTACATTGTGTTGATCAGCTTTACTTTTTTTAGCACCCTGACAAACACAAACCAGCATTTACAAATAAAAAACTTCAGGAAAAAAGCATGCAGCACTTCATACAATTCACTTTCATTTGTTCTTTTGACCTAAAATCCCAATGATGTTTCCACCCCTAAGCAGTCCTAAAGTAATCAAAAGAATTACACATGACTGAAACCAAACAAATCAGTAATTCTTGGTCAGGACTTAAAAGGATTTTTTTATATAAGTCTTTGGCTACTGCCTGGACCAGAACAGTTCTGTTCATGTTCTGTGGAATTTAACTGGAAAGTGCTCCTAGTTACCTTCAGCATGCAGAGGTACAGGTTTCAACACCCCTGTTTCTAGGAGCAGTAAACACAAGAAATGCCTATATTTCCCCACTGCAAACTGAACATTAAGGTATTTTTCCAGTTTTCTGAGGCTATCTCCATAGAGTACCAGCTCACTGACAGCAAAGATCTCACCAGTGGGGTTATGACACAGTAACGAAACAATGTAACACATTAGTAAGCAATGAACCTAGTCACAGGTAACTTAGTATCTAGAAGTAGAAACCCTGTCAAGAAGAAGGGAGTTCACTTTGCCTTAAACTGTAGTTGTCTACAGAAGCAATACAAGTCAAGAGCTCAGCAGTGCATACATGCCCCTATTAAGTAAGGGGCACAAAGAGGTCACCTCTGCCCTATCGCTGCCTGGTTATACTCTTTAACTAATTACCCAGGCTGGTGGTTACAGATGTGTGGAACTACACCAAAGAAAGTCCAAGAATCGTATTGCATGTATCAGGTTTTTTTCTGCAGTCTTTCACAATTTTCTATGTATCAGATATTTCAAAACAAATTCTAATGTGTAAGTTTAATTGAATGCTACGTTTAATAACAGGCAAATTTCAAAAAAACTGCATGCACTACATTTCTGAGAACAAAATGCCAAAGCTCATTTCCCTTCCAGCGGCTGAATATGAACCCCTCTATTGCATTAAAGAGTCTGACAAAAGGCCTGATAGAAAATTTAATCAGCCCTCAGTGAGATTTGCATGCACAGTACAGAACCACCCATTATAACAGGCAACAGCTAAACACAAGAGAGGCCAACTTATTTCAACGTCTCCACTGCCACGATAGTCGCTGAAGAAACGACAGTGCTCAACAGACTTCGGGGCTGACACCTCTTCACCATTCCAGTGTTAGGACTGCATTATCCATATTGGTTGACATTTCATTTCAAAACTGTCAGGTTTTTCTAGAAATCTTATCTTCCAACACTGTCCCTTCTGTGCTGCCTCATTTCTGCTGCCAGGGAAAGCTGGTCCTATGCAGCTATCTGCAATATTCCTCTAATAGAAAACTGAGCTTTTAGCTGCTGACAGAAAAAACCCACCAACTCTCACTAAACTCCCCAGTTACCCTTTCACTGTTACACCTTCATCTTTCTTTTCTTTTGTTTTTGACAACTGCTTTGGCTCTTCTAACGCCCCTTAATGCTTTCAGGGCTTTTGTTTCCAGAATCCTCTTCTGGCAGACCTGCCTATTTTCCACAATCATTTAAAATGACACCAGTTCCTCAGACCTTGCCACACAGCTATGCCAGTTTTACTCCAAGTTTAACTTCTGAGATTCTCACAATCATCAAAATGCAATTCGAATTATTCCAATATCCAGGAATTTTCACACATGGAGAGTAAATGTTGAGCTTCTCACTGAACTCAGTTTTACCAAGATCTCAATTTCTGGTATCATCTGTCTTGAGGATGCTGCATCTCTTTCACAAGGTAGAGCTGCACAAACTTGCTTACAGAGAAAGCATGTAACAGTTCTTTGACAGAGTGTTTCCATAAAATACAAGAGAGAAGGATAAAATAGCATTCCTCAATGTTATCTGTATTGCTACTAAGTGTTAAAGTGTGAGGATTCTGAATTATTTTGCAATTTGCTGCAACCCAGAACACTTTTACACGAGTTCTCAGTGCAGATGAAGTGACTCCATAGAAGCAGCTACAGGAGCATACAGAACAAGGGTTCTGTAGGTGAGAAATCTCTGGCTTAAAAAACCTCTGTGGCACAAGATTAAAATCTTGTACTTTCCTGTCCTCTCATATCCAAGAATCAGAAATAAATGACAGTATCACACATAAAATGAAGAGTTTTAGGAGTTGTGAACACAATTTTAGGGAAGTGAACACAATATGAGAGCTCAAGTAAGAACTGCCTGGAACTGGGTGTTGCAGAGATGAACAGGAAAGTACAAACGCTTCTAAGAGCAAGTCTCAAAAATAGGGTACTTCCACTGCTGTAGCACCAACCTTGATTTTGCTCTTCTGAATCTCAGAAAAAGTTGACCTCAATCCTATTGCAAGCATGCCTTTAAATCTGTGCATCTAAATCCAAAATATGCTAGAAACTTCAAGTACTTTGTGGAACAACCTATTTGACAACCCTGCTGCAATGAAATATATCACAATGGAGTTGAGCACTAACACAGTCAAGCAAGGTGAGTAATAAAATAAGCCAAGCTGTAATAAATGGTGTTAAGTGCCTGAAGTCTCCGAGACACTTTTAGGCTAGAATCAAAGGACCCAGAGAGCCAGGACCTAATGCAACTCATGCCATTGCGCTAATCCAGAAGTAAACTAACCTGCAGTAGGCATGACATTAATTTCTCTTAAACATGAAGCTCTACCAGTAACAGACACAAGAGTCCACAGTAAAAGACCTAAAAACTGAAGGGATCAGAGCATCTTAATGCCAGTTACTACATTTATGGCAACACTTGTGGCTCACCAGAACTGACAGCGCTGGATCCTTGGAACCAAACCAAGTTGCCATCATGAGGGAGATGCTGGCACTCTGTCAGTGCCTAGGGCCACGCTGCACCGGGCTGACCCACAGAATCAGGCGGTCTCTACTGCGTCAGTCAGGCACCAGACGGTCTGCATGTGAACACTGAAGCTCCAGATGTTGTTCAAGCCAGGCAGAAAGCCAACAAGGTGAGATGATGTGAACAGTCAATTTTAGTGCTACATTGCTTTACCTCCTTTTGTATGACTGTGCTAAATGCCTTTGCTTCAGCAGGTGATGCAGAATTTCTACTCTGTGCAGGCCACGCCACAAACGCCAGGTGGGTACAATTGTCTTTGGGGTTTTTATATGAAAAAAAATACAGAACAGAGTAATAAATTATCTCAAAGATGAAAAACGTGGAAAACACAATCCATGCTTACTGCATCTTCATTGTCAAGAAAGGAACTGAGCAGATTATTCCTTCTTTTATACTCTTCAAATCCTCAAGCGAAGGAAGCAGCAAGTGGTCCACAATGATGGTAATTTCAAGAAAAAGTCATGGATCCACCCCAAGGAGGTTTCAACTTAACTGAGAACACAAAAGAACCAAAGAACTTGCATCACCTCATGTCACTATCATCCTTTCAACATTTTCGTCACATACTGTTTGATCAAGCCTACTTCTCTCAAACTGTTTAAATCAGCAATACTAACTCCTGCGGACAAGGAAATAACATTCTTCTTGCAGAGCCACAATTCCCCAAAATAATTTCCTGATAGTACTCTAATAGAGTAAGTTAGGTCCATAGACCAGCCAGTACTATAAGAACACAAGTCAAATGTTACCAATGAGGAAAGTAGTCAAGGATTTAACTAACCCAAATCCACACAGACAATCAAATTTCAATGTAGTTTTAAGTTTTGGCTAAAAATCAAATTATTTCACATTTGCAAGAATTACAGAGCAGCTTCAGAACCTTCACACAGTGCTCCAGCACTCCTCAATTATGGTCACAGACATCTGAAACTCTTAGGGTAGCTAATGAATACTTGCCATTACAAAATAATATACAGCTCTTGACCATGAATGGCTCCTTTAATATAGCAATTTCAGAACTAACGCAATACTTTACAATTTCCAGCCTTCACGCTCAGGTAATCCTTCTTTTTTAATGTAATTGGTTATGAAAAAGTATCTTAAATTATATCAATCTGGGATTACAGGAGAATATGCTAGGCTTTCCTTCCTTCTCAGTAAGCAACCTAATTTATTTTCAGATTATATAATTAGATGCCCAAACCTATTACATATTGTGCTACAAAGAAAATTCAATGCACAGTAAGACTATTATTTTAACTTAAATTAATATTTCTGCAAGGAAAGCAAATTATCACTAAAAGGAGTATTTTCCTAGCAGTTAACAGAGCTGTAAAAAATTACCACAGTTATAGGATGGCACCTTCTGTGCATGTAGTACTGTGAATACCTCAGACTTCCACTAAAACCAGAGACGGGTGATGACACCCTAGCAAAGGACACGCTGAAGGTGTACCTCAGCTGATGCAGCTGGTATCCAACCCTTGCTTAATCATACTCTTTTAAACCCTCAATGCAGACAAAGGACAGAGTTGCATTAACTACACAATCACCAATTTCTTTTTCAGACCTACTTTCAGTTCCTAAAGGAATGCAGGGACAGCAAGTAACCCCCTTGCTGCTAATGCTGGAACAATTAACGACAGGTTATGCCCATGGTTCTCCTACAATTGGATGTTTCTGCTCACAGATTTCAGCAGTGCAGATGATTCAGTTTCACACATCATATATGCATGCAAATCCTAGTACTGAAAACAGCAAAAAATGTAGTACAGTGATTAATTGTGGTTCTACACCATATTATACACCCACACAACAGAAGAAATGTTTTATCATGTTTTAAAGAAGGACAGAGAAATAAGGCAGAAAGCCTCAGTTTGGTATACTGTCAAAACCCAAAACTTGTCCATACCCCTTGCCTAAAACTACCAAGATCTCAAGGTTTTTTTCCTCTAAATTCTCCTTCCCCTTTGTGTCTTTAAAGAAAATACTACGAAAATGCTTTATTAGCATCAGTCATTAAAGTAACATCA